CGAGCCAATCCTTCAATCTTAAATAGATCCATCTTCAGAGGTATTTAAATGTAACTGACTTAAACACCTAGAACAGAAAAAATTTGCTGTTGTTTTAAGTTACAGTGTAGAGAATAACACAAGCATTTGGAGGATGCATCTATTAACTCAGGAAATGTTTCAGTGAAAAGATGAGATTAGGCTGGGTTATATATACAAAGCTGAGAAACTCTTACAAGAGTGATTAAAGGCACAATGGTGACAAAGAACATGCTCTATGAAAGAGAGGAGACTAGCCTCAGTAGAACAGGTAGGTCACTTACATTGGGGAACGACAAAAAAGCTGTCAAGTGGTATACAGTAAAACTCATCAAGAGCTGTAAGTGCTGACCATCTTTATCCTTTAAGTACCAAGAAGCTATTTAAACATTACTTCTAGGTAAATTAAATCTATCGGCAGTACACAGTAAGAAGAGAAGTATGCAATGTTTTGGGAAGATTGGCTGAAGATAACACTAGAAGAAATAGGATGAATTAGATATCCCTCTTACACAGTAAGCTAAGGATAACTCATATTTATTTCCTGAATGAAAAAGAGCTGGGGTAGGGTAGAAGTAATGGGAATGAAGAGAAAGAAGAATCCAAGGTATATGAAATTATCAACACTTGTTCATTTTTGGTATTATAGATCTTACCACCTTTTTGGTAGTTATTTCACTTTTTGTTACTTTTCAAAGTATTTCCCTATATCAGGGGTTGGCAAATTATATTAGAGTCGCTAGGTCTGGTCTACTACCTGACTGACTCTATCTAAGAATGATTTTACATTTTCAGATGGTTAAAAACATAAACCAAAGGAAGACTATTTCATGATATATAACAATTATATGAAATTCAAATTTCCTATGAAGTTCTACTGGAACACAGTCATGTCCATTCATTTAATGTATCACTATGGGCACTTTCACGTTATAGCAGCAGACACGAGTAGTTGTGATAGAGATAACATGGCCTTGCAAAACTGAAAATATTGTCTGCCTTTTCATAGAAAACAATTCGCTAACCCCTGTTCTTTATATTATTTATTTGGCAATAATTTCAAAATTTACAAAAACATACTTTTTTTTACAGAAGAGTACAAGTGTCATTGGCATTTCTAGTAAGTTTTTATCCAAGCTTTTCACCTGCTAATTTTACAATTCCAGCAATCCAGAAGACTTTGGTAGGTAGGCTGCAGTCTGTATTAGGAACTTCCACTCTCACATTTTCTGAGATATCACCCCAGCAGGTCCCCATAGGTGCCTGTCATATAAAGATTATTAAATTATTGTGTGAAGATAAAGCTTAAAACAAATCAATCAATACTAAGCATTACCATCAATAATAGGATTATTAAACTAAAAATGTCATTTTAACCCATTCATTTTTCTCTAAAAATGTAACTGATTGCCCCTTTCACAGAACTCTATTTGGAAAAAGGCAATGTCAGGGTCAAACTCAAGATGAAGAAAGAATTCACATTTTTAGGACAAATCCACACACACTTCAAAATTCCATACTGTCCTAACACAAGATTTAAACAGCAATTTTTCTAAAAGCTCAATTACAAACTTGATACATTTCACAGGATAAAACCAATTTAAGAAACTTTTTTTTTTTTGGTTGCAGTTTGGCTAGGGCCAAGCTCGAACCCACCACCCTCGGTATGTGGGGCCGGCGCCCTACCCACTGAGCCACAGGTGCTGCCTACTTTAAGAAACTTAATTCTTTTTAATATGTACTAAATAAATCCACTTCACCCTAATCTCTAATTTTAAAAGATCTGGCCAAAGAACAGGAAGAAAAATAATTACAATTAGTAATGTGATTTCTGACAACAGGAATAAAAGAAATAAAATTTATCTATATTTTCAATTTAAGTTACATTCATAGAGTATAAATATAGTCTATTAAGATATCTGGACATGAAGGAAAAGCACTGGATAAAGTTAAGAAGGTAGAGCTGAAGAAGTTTTAGAGACGAGTATCATGGTAAACTTGTTAAATAACTTATTTTAAAATTTCTCATCTGGAAATCATTACAACGAGAAAACTTTCAATCTTAGAACTGGAAATCACTAGCCTCTACATTAAGATAGGGACTCAAAACCAACTGAGTATCATGAAGGCATTTTCCAAAATCTAGAAGATGTTCCCAAATTACAACTTCCATTATATATTAGTCCTTAAAACTCAAGGCAATTCACAGTTATTTGGCATTTGTGCAATGGTAAATTAAGTAAGTGAATTCAGGAATCTAAATGCTGACACGACTAAACAGTCTCTGTTGCCCTGCATGATCAGCTCCTCATTACATATACTAGTAGTTCAGAACCTTGATCATAAAGAAAAGGATTACATGAGGCTATAAAAGACCTGATAATATGAACAAATCAGGAACAAAAAAGCTTTAAAGCTCAAAGATGAGCAAAGACATCTACAAATTACATAAACTAACTGATTTGCACATCAGGCAAACACCTTCCACGTGAGGGCCCTCACACTTTGGTGGATTAGCCTAAAACAATATCCTATCTTCTCAATAATTTGTGGGATTTCTGAAGGAGAGAAAGAGAATTTCATATACTGAACTATGTCTAGAAACCAAAGACAGAATCAATTAATGGCTATTTCTTTAAGTAGTAAGAAATGACTATACCTCATTAACTTGGAAATGTAGTCTATCCCAACTACTTGTGATTCTGGAAGGGTACATATAACTATATCCCTGAGTTGTATAAAAAAAGAAAAAAATACTCATTGACTACTTCCTTCTTTTTGTTTAAAGTGAAAGACTGGACTCTTCAGGTTCTGCTATCTCCCCCTATATCATTCTAGACTGTGGGGCCATCCCTATTGCCAGCAGATACGATCAGAAAAGGAGAAGCTGGAAGGAAGACAGGTAACACAGATTAAGCTAATACATATTAACACAAAGATCATATATTCATTTCCGTGCAGATAAACCAATTAGAGCAGACAGATACAATTAAATGCATACATTAAAATGCATCAGATTAAGGTATGATATCCATCCCTCTTTGGTTGGTTGCCAAACCTGTCAATTGGGTTTATTTTTCTTTGAGAAGAAAGAGGTATGGCAATGTTGAAAGCTGGGATTAGGTTGGCACAGTGCTCAATGAGTTTGGTGTACAGGACTCCTTTTAGAGGTAGATGTGACAACCTAAACCTTAACCTTTGTTTGGAGAAAATAACTTTTAATCATATTTTAGTAAAGAAAACAAAGTGTCAATACTAAAAAACAATGTTTACTTTGGTGGGGGATATTATATTTTGGTCCCTGTAGTCTGGATTGGTATAGGAGAAAGTAGCAGAAAGTGACATTTGTTCTTGCCTGTAAGGTTGTGGTTCTGCTAGGCCCTCTTAAACCAATCCACATGGTTCAGTCTAAGAAAAGAAAAATGAAGAAACGATGACATCAACAAGATAGAGCACTACAGTCAAAGCATAGTATGTGCTCAGTGTATATTGAAATAAGGTAATTCCATAGATATATCTGCCCTTTTGTTTAAAATCAACATTCTTAATTGTAGAAGACTAAATGACCCAGGGCTTGACAGCCATCTTCATCCAAGTCATCTGTCTTCTCTTGCTGGCAGGAGGGATACCTCTGAAAGTCTGGATTGGCATAGCATGAACTAGCAGAACCATAATTTACAGGTAACAACAAATTTACCTTCCAGACTCAGGACGCGAGGTCCACCTCAGGCTCCTCCCAAACAAGGAAGATCTGCTCCACCACTTCCTGCTCCAGGGCCACTTGTGAGGGCTATCTGGGAGCGACTGTCCTTCCCTGCAAGGTAAGCTGTCATCAGGTCCTGCAGGACATGGCCAAATGCAAATGCTGAGGGTTCCCCAACACCAATGTATGATAACCTCCACCTGACTGTAAGAAAATAATTGGGTGGGAAGTCTTATTTTCTGCACTTCAAGATTATTCCCAGATAGTCCAATAGCTCAGATAGGTACAGTATCAGACTCTCAGAAGGCTGACACACTGCACACACAATGCTTTTTGGCAGAAATACAGCTTTTCCCCTGCAGAGTTGCCAACCTGTAACTTTGGATAACAAATAAATCTTTATTACTAACAAGAATATATCAGTGGTTGGAGGCAAGACCTGGTCACACACAGGTAACCAAGAAAGAATCTATCTAAATGAGATGGCAAATATACAAAATGCCACCATTAAAATAATTTCAGATTAACAGGAAAAAGATCACATATAGTAGAGACAGATCAAGTATTATGCAACCAAAAAGAGGAGAAAACATTACATAAAACTGAGTAGGAAGAAATTATAATTCCTAAATACTACCTATTGGAATTGGTAGGAAGTAGAAATAGGAAAAAAAAAACCCAACCAAACAAAAAAACAACTGTTCCCACCTTCTCCACAAAGTCCACTCACCTTTTGCTTTGATACTAGAATCTGCTTTCTGGTGGTAGCAGGGAGATGGGAGCACAAAGAGGTTACAAAAGGAACCTGGGATGCTTGGAGAAGACGTGAAATTGAGAGAATGCTATGGGTATGCAGAAAGGTAGGAAGCAGCGGCTACTAATTTGGAAAGGCATAAAACTATAAATAATTTTGGAAAAAAACATATTGAACCAATATTGGTTAAGAACTGGGAGATCCCAAAAGGAAAACAAAAAAGCCTTTAGAAACAGAATTAAGAAAATAGTCAAGATTTGTTGATGTATCCTTTATTTTTTGCTGACTGAATTTTTTTTAAAATTAGGCTTTCTTTAAAACATAAGAGAAAGATGATTTTTATTAGAATCCACTGCTCTCCTGAAGGGAATTTATTTCATGGCCACACTCCCAACAGCAGTAATAAGTGCCACTAAGTTTTATTTCTATTAGAAGAAAATTTTGCCATCTAAGGTATACAAAACTACATGTGTAATACACATTATAAAGAAATATGGATAACTATCCCTTCAGAAAAGCTGGCATGCACACAGACCCAACACAAAAATGAGGATTAGTGTACATCATATAAGTAATAGATTTATCTGTGGTGGCAGAATACAAAAGTATGATAAATTCAGCTTTAAAGTTCTAGCATACATGTGTAGAAAAACCTTTTTTCTTTTGGGGGGGGGACAAAACCACCTCTATTTTCAAGAGAGAAAAAGGGACAATTATAATATTTCTGGTCTTGGCAAGGACGTTATCAGTAAGATACAAAAATATGTACAAAGAAGTCATTTTACCAAAAAGACACTTGCACTTGAGTGTTCAATGCAGCACAATTCACAATTGCAAAGATGTAGAATCACCCAAGCGCCCATCAGTTCATGGTTGGATTTGGATTAACAAAATACAGTGTACATACTTGGATGCTATGGAATACTACTCAGCCACAAAGAAGGATGAACTGAGGCCTTCTGCAACAATCTGGATGGATTTTCCATTCTGAAAAATGGAAAATCAAACACTACATATACTCACTATTAAACAGGAACTAACCGATGAGTACAACATGCACTCTTCCCTTACAGAGGGAAGTAAAACTCACTGGAAATCAAGTGGGGGGAGGACGGGTGGATGAGTAAAAATCTACCTAATGGGTACAATGAACACTGGAACACAACGTGGGTGATGGGCATGCTCACAACCCTGACTCTGGCATAAAAAAAATTATGCATTAACCAAAAACATTTGTATTGCTGTAATATTTTGGGAAAAAAGTATTCAGGTACCAAACAAAGAAATCTGAGGCCTGTAAATATATAACTGAAGGAATATATGATTTTAACCTTTCATGGTTTTATGTACAGTTGATATTGGCATCTTTTGGCCCATGCTGTTGTACTCTGGAAATAAGTGTTCTACTTGATTTCATAAAGCAAAAGGTGTGCTTCAATTTAGAAGACTACAGTCTTCAAAAAATTAAAAAAAAAACTGAGTGCTTTAAACCTCATAAATACACATAAAACTGGAGGCTCCTGTGGGTTCAAAAATAAACTATTAATATAAGAAAATAATCTGTGAATTTCATAAATGTATACAGTACACATGACTGGCATTTGGTACTATATTAATATTTTGGGAGATTTTCCTTGTTAGGATAGATATGGATACTGCTTTTGTGGTCTTAATTAAGAAATACATTAAGTAAGAAAAAGACTTTGCATTATGAAAGTAGGCTAAAGCCCCAAGTTGAAAATTATATTCAGCTACTCAAAAAAGTAGAGCAGTTTCTTCATTTACAACAGATGAACTGGGTCAAGT